ATTCCAGAGGTCCGTGGTTTGATTCCTGTTGAAGGCGTTGGTAATTTTTCATCTTTCCTGCTTCCAAAATACCTAATGTCTCTACAGTGGTGCCCAAACTAAAAGGGTGGTGGATGATGATTCTCCACACCCAGGATTTGGCTACAGGTCCCCTAAAAACACCACTCATCCTTTAAAAGGGGGAGTATATAAGGTATTTCTCCCATTTTCATCGCGTGCTTTCGTGGTGTGGTGGTCTGCACGCTTGACGCATATTCCAGAGGTCCATGGTTCGATTCCCGGGAAAGGCATTGCTCATTTTTCATCTTTCCTGTTTCCAAAACACCTAATGTCTCTATAAACCTCTAACTAATATTTTGAATATTAATGCTTTATTGGGTGAGTCTTGCAAATCTTTGAATAGAATTATAACTTTTGCTAACACCTTTCAAATATAATCAGTTATTCATAGGTATAACTATTACTTTCCTTTTTGAGATAAATTTTTTTTCACTAAAAACGTAAAGATATGCCTAATACTTCTTTGATAAATAAAAAAAAAATTAAATTGTTAAATTAAAATTCTTAAAATGTGATGCTTGAGATCTCTAGATGACTATCATGAGGTTAAACTATTACAATAAACAGGCATTTAATTTTAAATGCCAACATGATAAAAGTTTAATTTCTTGATTTCACAGTGCACTAAATCAGCATCACTACACATAGAAGGGACATTCTGATACACTAAAATACACTGCTTGGCATTGAAAATGCAACAACAAGAAGGAGTGGTCAGAAATTTATGCAAATTTTAGAGTAGACGCACATCACTGAGTAATGCGAATGATGTGAAATGTGCAGCTCTTTCGACACAGGTGAAGTAAGATATAAGGGAAGGAACGTGCAGAATGGGCAATATTCATGTCGTTATTTCTGCCAGACGAATTATTGAAGAAAGTTGGTTTTTGTTCCGGAGGATATGTGTAATAAGAGATAATACCAGGCCACCCATCAACGAAGGCACTTCCAGCAGATAGACGATTCTACGAGAGGTATGGTGATCGGATTGAAAAGGTCCTTACATTAAATTGCAGCTGATACTCGCATGGATTCGAGCACGGTGCATCGGCTATGGCGAACATGGTTGGAACAAGGAACTGTGGGAAGAAGGAGGGTTGCAGGTGCAGCCAGAGTTACGTCAGCATGCATGGATCAACACAACCGCCGACAAGCTATGGCAGTCCCGCAAGTCACTTGTACTGTGATTCTGCAGCATGTGCAAGATATCCTGGATGTTCCCATGTCGATCAGAACCATTTCGCGCCGATTGGTTGAACGTGGCCTGCACTCACGCCGTCCGTTAAGAAGTCTGCCATTGACCCCACAGCATAGAGGCCAACGTTTAGAACGGTGCCGGACTGGAGCAATGTGGATGACAGAATGGCGAAACGTTGTGTTCTCAGATGGGTCACGCTTCTGTTTATCCAGTGACAGTCGCCGCATATGTGTGTGGCATCGATTTGGAGACAGATCTAATCCGGCAGCAACTGTGGAATTCCCCCCCCTGCCCGACAATGTGGCATAATGGTTTGGGGTGCTATTGCCTATGAATCCAGGTCACCTCTAGTTCGTATTCAGGGCACTATAACGGCTCAACAATACTTGAATAATGTACTGCGGCCGAGGGCAATCCCCTACCTTCAGGGGCTGCCTAATGCAATTTTTCAGCAGGATAACGCCTGATCACACAGTGCTCGCATCTGACAACATGCTCTGCAAGGTATACAGATGCTTCCCTGGCCACCGTACTTTCCTGACCTGTCACCAATCGAACATGTCTGGGATGTGATTGGATGCCATTTGCAGACTCTGCCCGTGTCTCGTTCAGAATACAAACTGTGGCAAATGGTTGAAAGGGAATGGAGATCCATCCCTCAGGACACCATCTACACTTTTATTGACTCTATGCCTAGACGTGTTTCTTCGTGCATCACTGTCCGCGGTGGTCCTACATCCTACTGAGCCGACGCCGTTCTTGCTCTGTATTCTGATTATCATTTTGAAAATAAAGATCACTTATTGCCGCTTGCTGTCTTTTTTCCAAATTTCATCACTTTCTGACCACTCCTTCTTTGTGTTGCATTTTCAATGCACAGCAGTGTATTTGGTACTTTTCCGTTTCGCCGGTGCAAATCTTGCCAAGCAGACTTTAGTGGTGACAACGCACAGTATATACATAAAAAGTGTTAACAAATGTTAGTTCTAAGAATTTTTTAGTTTGAAGGCATAAACACCTTAATATCGTTTAAAATTTTGTAAAAAGACAATAAATATAGACAATAAATTTGTAAAGAGACATTAATTTAAGAATTTACTATGCTTTCATGGTACAATATCTTGATTTGCCGGTTCAGATCATGTGACCCTAAGTGATCTCATCTCACGTAAGCTACGCTACAAAAATCTAATTCTCTCAGTCATTATCTACATTAATTTCAAGTTAAATCTTAATATGGAATACAAGTTTAAATGCAAGAATTATTTCAAGAATAATTTCATGAAAGCTTACTCAGAAATTATGTAAAACACCAGTGCTTTACTTCGCTAGTGCATTCTCATTAGAGTTTATGATTTAAACCCTTGACTTTATATTTTCGCCTTCAGCTGAGCAGTGTGATTGGATCCTAATTGACTTACTTACTGCGAATGGCCTTATGGCATAAAATTGAACTATCTTGTAAAATTTCTATGTAATTGTATGCCAATATTGAAAAAAACAATCAATCTTATAAGAAATGGCTGTGACTTGTTTTGAAAATGAGGTGGAAAAGGTTACCAGCGAAGATATTCCATTTGGCATCGTTTGTACCATTTTTGGCGACTTTATCGCCTGCGCCGGCCAAATGGAAAGTACCAAATATTTGCTTTCAAATAGACTTGAACCAACAATGATATTACTAAGTCTTAATTTTATCTTAATCTACTCACTCTAAGAGAGGTATAATCATGAAGATTTTAATGAACATTTAAAAGCAAATTTCTGCCAAAGTATTAGCTTATAACTAAAAAAATATATAATAATAAATTTCAAAATTACAAGAAACATATCATTTTTCAACACTTCAGACAGTATTTTTCTGGGCATGTAAGATAAATATAATTTTAATTTTTTTATTGTAAAGTTAGAAAGAATGAAATACAGTTCCATAATTTCATTAGTAAAATGCTTCCCACAAATAGAAACATTTGCAATGAAATATGATAAATAATCATAAATGGAATACGTTGTTAAATTGTGTAAATAGATTTAGATTATCACACTGATTATAATTTATGTAATAATAGAGTACAGTATAAACAAATAAAAATATCATAAGAAAACTTGAGCAAAAATGACAGGGAAACCACTTTTTAATGTAATTAACACTGTGCCATTGTATAACATTCTAAAAATATATAATAGACTTAATTTAGAATCACGCAAAAAAAATTCTCTTGAATCAGTTTGGGTAATTCTGTAGAATTAAAATCACAATAAACAGCGCCTTTCGACAAAATAAGTGTAAGCAAAGCGGCAGTAATGGAGCAAGTATTTTTGCTAATAGCCACACACACTACTCAAACGATCTTCAACAACATAACTCTACGTGAAATTTTTTTGGGGGTCCTTTTTGACTCCAGTTTAACAGTGCAACCAGAACTGAAGCTCCCATGTGTGATGTCACCACAATCCAGGTGGCATCTATGGTGGTCAAGTTCCTTGCAAATATTTTGCCAGATTTTCATTTTGGAACTGTGATATCACCAAGAGCTCTAGTGATTAATGATGGTTGAATTTTCTTAGTGGTTTTAGAATTGTTGAAATTTATGTAATATGTTGTGTCATTACAAAAAAACCTTCAAATCTGAAGAATATTTACACATCTTTGTGAAAAACTTCTCTTTTGTAGATCTGAAGAACTTTCTTGTACTTGAAAATTTTATTTCATGTCCTGTATATCCAGTATTTACTCTACATGTCTTCTAATTACCGATAGAAAAAAGTATAACTACATGAAATATTTGAAATACTGAAATTCATATGAATGTTGAATAGTGGCCAAAAAATCTGCCATTTTGTTCTAAATTGTCTAATAGGCTGAATAATAAAAACCACCAATTTCATTCACATGAATAAAATAAATACTTATTTTTCTCAAACACTCAACAAATTTATCAAAGAAATTAACATAAACTATCTAAAATATATTTTTATGTATTTAAAGATGTCATAGGCTAAAAAATAACAAAAATAAACAAAACAAAACAAACAAACAAAAAAAAAAAAAACACTAGAAAATTCAGATTTATTTATTTATTTTATACAGTTTTTTATGTATACTGACTTCAGTTTTTATGTACTGTGAATATTTTACATTTTTTAACTATTTTATTTTTAAGTCTATCATTTCTTGCCAGATGAATTTATGTATTAGTGGAGTAGTGTATTGAAAGTTTTGTGGTCATTAGTACATAAAATTAGATTGTTTTATTAGTTTAGAATATTTTTCAGATAATTTTCTAATTAATTCAGGAACTCCATTATGATTTTCTCATTTTGTTTTGGTAATTTTGCACCCCTTGATTTTTTTTTTTTTTTTTTTTTTTTTTTTTTTTTTACTCTCTGCCAGAGCACAGACTAATGGAACATTCGTTTGGCCCTGCTTTGGGCTGTACTGGTGTATTGTTTGACATGTGTTGTATAACAAGAGGAGCATACAACATTGATTGAATCTAAAATATTTTTTTTTTTTTTTCATTTAATGCTAATTTTTTTTTTTTTTAACTTGCAATATTTTCTAAAATGCAACATTTTAAAACCTAATGAACCATTTGTAATAACCCTATATTTCAAAACTTTTTTTAATTTCTTAAAGAAGCTTTTAATAAATTTCAAAGCTATATTATTAAATTGCATGTAGGCAAAAATTTTATAAAACTTTTTGTGCAGAATATTCACTTTTGATATCATAATCTAGGTAGCAGAATCAGATGGAAGGATAATTATTTGTTCTGAAAAAATTGGGGAAATGGTATGGCTTTTATTTTATTTGTTTATTTATTTTTAATATCTTAGAGCTTTTTAAAAAATAGATGAAATTATTTAGGAAAGAATGTATGGCTCAATTAGGTATTGTAATTTTTTTAAATTTTAGGTGAAAGATAAAGTAAAGGATGGCTTTTGTTACACTGTATCAAAAAATCCTGATGAATTAAGTGTAGTTTCTGATGTAATCCAGTATTTTAATGTACAGTTAAATAGGAAGAAGATATTTTCACGTTGCTTTGTAAGTTAATTTTAATATTTTAAATTTTTAGTATAATTTTAGTATTATTATATAACCTATAAGAAAGTTTGAACTGATATTCCATGTCTCATCTGTTACAATGACCATTTGATGTAATATTCTTTTTTATCAGTCTATAGAGAATTGTTACAATGCAATTTGACTGGATATAACTGTTATGATATTTACAATCTATGAAGCTAATCTTTCATGTTCCAAGCTGAGTGATAGTTTACTCAAAGCATGTGCTTCTAAAATCTGTAGTTCTTAAAAAAGAATCAGAGAGCAATGCTTTTGAAGCAACTCGAAAAACTGAGCAGTTGAAAGCAACTTGGGAAATACAAATGAATTTTGTTTATGGTAAAAATGAAAACAATTTCTGAATGATTGTGTATGTAATTGTAATCAATTTGGCCTTATTTCTTGCTTAAAAATTGGTAGATATGAAAGCTGATAGTATAATTAAGATTTTACTGTAGTAAATAGAATTTCAGAATAGATGCTTGAAATTCGTTTCTCGCTGAAGGTATATGTGTATGTGTTTCTTATTAAGAAATACAACATTCTAACTTTAAGTAGTTTTTAACTGAAATGTTAGTAGTGTGTTTCTGGTTTTACATTTATAATGTTTGAAAGAAAAATTTTGGCAGAGGAAAGGAATAAAAAATTGTAGTCATGACTGTTAGATATAATCAGCATTTTAGTCACATTATACGACTTCCACAAAGATAAAAGAGCTGCACATGCACTCAAAAAAAGATTTATGCTGTCTTTGGTGATGACACACTAACAAAATTCCATATGTCAGAACTGGTTTTCAAAATATCATTCTGGTGGTTTTTCACCTTAAGGTGCTCCATGTTTTTTGTAGACAAACTGAAATTGATGATGGCAAATTAAAAGAGGTGATTGTGTGATAATCATACTTGAACTTGCTGAGAGTCTTGCCTCATAAATCATACTTGAACTTGATGGGAGTCTAAATTCATCCAAAATAATCACTGAAAACCATTTGAAAACACTTGGTGGAAGATGAGGTTTTAGATCCCCAGTTGTATCAAGACATGTGACTTGCTTTTGAAATGTAACCAAATTGATCCATTTTTAAAAATGATTGATGACTGATTATGAAAACTGGATCATTAACAGAAAGACCAAGGACAAAATATCATGGTTCAAACCTAGAGCTAACTCGAACAGTATCAAAATCTGATAGAATAGAAAGTCAATTATACATTTGCTGAGATTATACCCCCAAACGTTTTTTTTTTTTTTTTTTTTTTTTTTTTTTTTTTTTGAGCTTTTATCAAAATGATCATTTCCAGTGTGTGCTGCCAACTTCTAGCAAAAATGAAAGGTCCTTTGTAGTAGTTATGTTTGGAATTGTAAAGATTTGGTGTCAAATTCCACTCATTGGAAATTACAGGATCTTTGCTAGAATACATAATCACATCCACCATATAGCTCTAACAGTGCACCATCAGATTATCATTTGTTTAATACTCTGCAGATTGTTTATTAGATAAAACTTTTATTTCAGATGTTTATTATGGGCAGCTCAATAAATTGTGATATGTGGGTTTGCATATGAGTAGCTGTTTTTTTTTTTTTTTTTCCCTTAATTATTATTGCCTAGATTTTAGAAAAGATCTCAAAATAATTTCATTGAAATAAATCATTCAGATAAATAAGTTAAACCATTAAACAAGTATGACAGTATATAATAGCTACAGTGAATGTTTTAAAATTCTGTTAAAAGGCCAGCTTTCTTGAACTAGGGAATTTTCACAATTTATGTGTGTTAAAATTCTATTTAAGGAGCATTTCAGAATTATTTAGATCTGAGTTTAAAATAATTAATGTAAAACTCTTGAGTGACTTGGTTTTGACCATCTTGATAAATCCTGTTACTCTGATACAATATTGAAGAAATTAGATTTTCAGTGTATTATTTTAAGGTTATATATTCTACAAGGTCCGGCTATTAATTTCCAGGACTCATGGAATAACTCAGAAGAAAAAAGGTTAAATATAGCCATTTAATATGATTCAAAGTAATCCCCATCAGCCGTAATGCACGTCTGTGCTCGGCTGTAAAAATATCGGAAAGAAATTTTAAAGTCCTCTTTTGGAATGCTCTTTAATAGTGGCATTACAGTTTTCTTGATGGCTTCAACATCCTGAAATCTTGTTTCCTTCAGCAAATTTTTCAGCTTAGGAAACAGGAAAAAGTCTGCGAGTGCTAGGTCTGGAGAGTATGGTGAATGCTGCATATCAATGACACCATGCTGGGCTAAGAATTGCCTCACAGGCAACGCAATGTGTGGGCGGGCATTGTCATGTAGCAGCAGCCAACTCCATTTTGTTGAAAAGGAGGCTTCACTCTATGAATTTGTTTTCGAAGTTGGTCAAGAACTTTTGTGTAGAACTGTCCATTGATAGTCATGTTAGCAGGAAGAAATTCATGATGAATGAGTTCATCACAGTCGAAGAAAGCAATTAACATGACCTTGATTTTGGACTTTTCAAATCGAAATTTTTTCTGCCTTGGTGAACTTGGAGACCACCATTCGGAGCTTTGACGCTTGGTTTCAGGGTCATATTAATAACACCAAGACTCGTTTTTTGAACATAATTTATGGATAGGATATCCAGAAACGCAGGGTCAGCATCAGCGTTGTTGATAAATTCGCCACATGCGTACAGTCTCAATTGCTTTTGTTTGTCCCTTAAATGGTGAGGAACGAATCTGGAACAAATCTTGTGTTTGCCTAGGTCTTGCGTCAAAATTTGCCGAACTGTCTCTTTGCCCATGTTGAATTCATTGGCAAGTACTCGAATAGTCAATCGATGATTACATTTCACCATATCGCAAACTTTTTCAATTGCTTCCGGCATGGGTACGGACTGTGGCCGAACTGTGTGTGGATCATCTTCGATGTTTTCACGCCTGTCCCGAAAGCATTTAAACCATTCAAAAGTTCTTGAGCGGGATAATGCATCCTCGCCGTAAACTTGTTTTAATATTTCGTAGGTTTCCGCAGCTGTCTTTCCAATTTGAAGCAAAATTTAATGTTAATTCTTTGCTCCATTTTCACTTCGACAATAGGAATTTAAGAGCTATGTTTTAATGCACCTTTCCATGAGAACCACTTACTTTAGAATGGTGCTGATTGCACTGCACATGCACAAGTAAACGTTCTTCAATATGCAATCATTAGTGCCATCTTCCGACTTTTCGTCAGTCCTGGAAATTGGGCCTTGTATTTATAGCTCTAGAATAGCTGTCAAATCTATTCCATATATATATAAAGCAAGCAGATCTCCCTCTTCCAATTTGGTACTCATTCCCCAGCATTCATTTATCCAGTTCATAAAGTAGATGTCTAATATATAGGTAAAGAATAACCCACATGTTGCTATTTTATTTCTTCTTTTTGTGCAAAATATGCATGAATATAAGTTTCATTTAATGATTTTAATATATTATACTGTAAAGAGTATAGCTTAGCATTAGCCTCAAGACAAGTGGAGAATTTATATTAGCTGTCTTAAAAAAAAGGATTTTTGTATAACCATGTTTTAGGCTTATGTTATTCCAAGATTAAATTCTATTATCATGATATGATAAATGCTACACATGCACACTTTAGCCAAACGGCATGTGTTTTTGTAACTCTCTCACGTGACAGAGAGTTGAGATTACAAGAAGAGAATGTTATGATAAGTTGCATTGTAAGCCGGCAAAAATATTTCGTTATCCACTTCACGTAAATTATATCTGTTTATTTATTCATGCTATAAGTGTTTGTCCTGCACTATGTATGCTTTATGAAAATAATCACATCATGTACGTGTTAATATGTTGAACTGATCTCACGTTGGAAGTACCGTATCTAGTTATGAACTACAAATGACATTTAATATTACTGCCGGGAAATGAGATTTTGTGTTTATGTCTATCATGTTTTAAAAAATGAGGCAATATGCTTCCATGTTATTTTAGTTTTTGTACTGTATCAGAGATTATATATATAACAGTGTATGAAATTGAGTTAATACTAGCTTTGTAAGATTTACAAACTTAATCTTCTAGGCCTTTTTAATTGTGGAAATTCTTAAGAATAGGCATTATAGAAAATCAGTTTTTTTTTAACATAATTAATTTTAGAAAGAAATTTTATGGTCATTAGCCTACTATTTTATTAGACATAGATTAGTTTGATCTGAAACAAATTCTTATAATTTCTCGGATAAAAATGTAAATTCAGGTTTTGTGGTGAGACCAAAATTTATTTTTGACATGTATTAATATTTGGAGAGATAAATACAATGGGGAATTTTTATTCAATTCCCCATTTAATTTAAGTAAATTAATTAATTAATTTTATTTTAAAAGGCCTGTTAATAATAATATTCTTTATTAATTCATCCTGAAAAGAGTTTGTTTTTATGATTATAACCACGAGCCCGCACGCTGTGTCCAATGGACCCGCCCAATTAAAGAAACCTTTCTGAAAACACCCTTATTTTTCCCAAGTGGTTGTGGTTTAGTGTAGTCTCCTCCAAGGTCATCTGCTTTATGTTTCGAATGTTTTTCGCTGGAAATTTGATTCATAGTTTTGTTTTGATTGCCCCCAGCAGGCCTATTCGCATTGATGTAGTTCATTTGTGATAGCACAGAATGTTGAAAACGTCGTGTAATTTATCCTTCAAGGAAGAAATGACACGTTTTCAAAAATTCTTAGAAGGTGTATCAACTGAGGAAGAATCCATTGTTGAAGAAACTGATGATGAAAGTGATATTGAATTTTTTAGTTCTCATGATACTGATTCAGAAATCAAGATGGATTCTGAAAACAAAAATGAGAATGACATTTATTGCTTTACTGGAAAAGACAAAAAAATTAGGCTGCGTTCAGTCGGCGGAGTAAAGGGCATAGAAGAGTAATCATAAGGACATAAAATACGGAAATTCCGTTCACACTTGCGAGAACGGGGTATAAGCTGTGGTCAATAGGAGAAGCTAAATTTGTGCTGCATGCATGGATGTATCTGAAACTTTCTGGCACTGTTCTCCTGCTCGATTGACTTCCCGCGTTCGCTCTGCTTGTTTTGTGACAGCGAAATCTTCTGTGGAATGCCGCTTCGTTTTAGCTTCACTCTGATTGGTTGACGCTTATCCCAAACTCAGCATAAAGTTGAAAACTTTGAACCCTATACCATGAGCACTAAACCAGATTTTGTGACGTAGCACAGACTGGTTGCCTTGGCAACGGAGCTTGGCTTTAACCACTTATACCCTTTACGCCCCCATCTGAACGAAGCTTTAGTGATCGAAAAGCCTAAAAGTGATCAAAAAGCCTAAGTCTCTTTAAAAAAATGTATTTCATGAAAAAATTGGAAAATTAAAATTTTAATTTTTATAATTTGCGTATTTTTTAAGTTTGATCATAAATTTATGGCATAAATGTAATACTTTTACTTGAACTGTTTTTTTTTCTTCAAAAAATATGAGTGCGAGGGGGCACGCTCGTGTAACTCAAAAGAGTGTATGCACTCCTGGGTTAGATAAATATTATTACAGATGCCATTCAACTAGTGAAATACAGGGTGTTTATAAAGTCCCGGACCCATTTTGATGTTTAATAACTCATAAAATAATAAAGATAGATTAAAATTAGTAACATAAATGGTTGGATAGGCTCAAAAAGTTTCATGACCCTTGTCAATGAGCTTACATGTGTGCCCTCTTCATCGCACGGAGAATATCAAGTCGATATTCAATTTCCCGCCAGGTACCAGCAAGCATTTCGGCATCCACAGAGGATATTGCGGTTGCAATTTTGGCTTTTAGGTCATTAATGTTCGACGCTCTCCTCCTGTAAATGTTGTCCTTTACAAATCCCCAAAGGAAAAAGCCTTAGCGGTGTTATATCAGGTGATCTGGGCCAGGAATGGACCCTCCTCCCCAATCCATCTTCATGTAAAAGGTCATTCAAGAACTAGGAACGATGGTATTCCAATGAGGTGGTGCACCATCTTGTTGCAAAAAGACATGTGGCTGAAGCTCTTCTAGTTGTGGAAATACAAAGTTTTCCAACATGTCTAAGTATACGACTGATGAGACCGTCTTTTCTGTAAAAAAGAAAGGCCCAATGACTCGGTCGTGCATTAGTCCACACCACACATTAACCTTTGGGGAATCCCTTTGTGCCTCATGGTATTCATGGGGGTTTCCCGATCCCCATATGCGCACATTATGGTGATTAACAATGCTAGAAAGATGAAAGGATGAACATTATGTGCTTCAGAAATTCAGCATCATCTTCTGTCCTCTTTAGCATATCTGTTGCAAAGGCCATCCTTCTAGGCCTATCGTCCGATTCCAAAACTTGAACAATTTGAACTTTGTATGCATGCAGTCTTAATTTTTCTTAATAACCTTGTACACTGTCGAAATTGGCAAGTACAATTCTCTTGCCGCTGATCTCACAGATCTTCTAGGATTGTGTCAAAATGTCTCTCTGGCGGCATGCTCAACATCAAAATCACTTGTGCAGAGACGTCCGGAACGTTTCTTATCCGTGATACTTCCAGTTTCTAGAAAATTGTTTTTCCACCACAAGATGCTGCTTTTTGATGGAGTTTTGGTAAATTCTTCTGCAATTTCTCTGTTTGGTTATGGATTCGTTTCTATGAACCAACATAAAATCTGTGCTTTCTCTTGTAGTGTATGCATTCTCCTTAATATCCGGTCGAATAGAACACCACATACGTACTAAAACAAACACATCAAAAGCAAACATAACATTGCAATAGTTGCCAAAAACAAAAGAGAGAAAAATGCAATTAATAAGCAGACAATATTTAGAAAAGTACAGATATTTAGACTGGAAAATGAAATATCTGAAATTAATCACACGTGCAGACGATATTTACAAAAGTAAAGATATTCAAACCTGAAAAGGAAAATATATAAGTTATTCCATCAATAAATGCCATAAGTTTATTTATATCTTCATTATTTTATGAGTTATTAAACATCAAAATGGGTCCAGGACTTTATAAACACCCTGTATTATATACCTCAATTAAGAATTATTTGAATTACTATTTTACCATGTAATTTACCATATTTCTGACTGAATTGCCCCATTTTTGTTGTAATGAGATATTTTTCTTTTGCATAATTTTTTGCTATATTATTTATATAAAGATGTATATTTTTATAAGCATCTTATGAGTATGTTTTATAAGCTTTGTTGATCTAGAAATCTGCTCTATTTAAATAGATGGTGCAGTTTTTATTCGCTAGATTAACACATATGAAGCATTTCTTTACTTTATATTGCAGATCTGCAGTAATGAAGATTGCATAAAATTACAGCCAGATGATATGAATTTATTAAGAAAACTGGTATCGGTAAAAGAGTCAAATGCTCAAACATGTGATTTAAGCCTGCTAAGAAGTGAATTGGAACCAGTTGTAAATCGCTTGTTTAGTTCAGAAACTGTGTTAAAATTTAATAATTATAGCAATACTGGAATGCATAAAATGGAAACACTTTTGTGTACAAAATGTGGTAATATATTTTGACAAAAGCTAGTAAACTATTTTGTAAATAGAAATAATGTACAGAAATATTTCTGTAGATATAGATTATTTAAATAAAATTGTTTTTAAAAAATAAATTTGGTTTCATATTTTCAGAAGACTGCAAAATACTGGAATAAAAATATAAATACTATCAAACAAAATAATAATAATTATATATACACATTAATAATAAATGATTATTATTTTGTGTATGAGAGGGAGTATTGTGCCTGAAATATGTTAGTAATATTAGCTTATAATTTAAATGTTAATGTAGAATTTGGAATTAACATTCCAGTACCTTTCACATTATGTTAATTCAAGAGATTAATTAAATATTCCATAAACAAGATGCAGACATAAATGATAGTTATGCATAAGTATTTCATGTTAGAATGATAATTATCTATTGGAGCATTTTCCCTGTGAAAGAGGGGATAAACAGTTAAAACATTTTATAAGATGAATGAAGACTTGTAGAATATCCAAGCACAGGTTTGGCTATAATGTGACTTTCCAGAATGAAAGGGCACTAACTATTAATAAAGAATTTTTTAAAATAATTTCACTATGCCATTTTACTAGATTTATATAAAATCTGGAATCACCTAAGTCCCAATGATTCCAGATTTTGGAAAACTTTGTACTGTAGTACATTACTAATTTAATATAGGCCTTCTTTTATTGGCCTTTAGAAAATAATATTGCATTAGTTTTTTAAAAAAAATAATTGATACAAACTACTAATACAATATAGGCCCTCTTTTATCAGTCTTTAGAAAATAATATTGGGCCAGTTTTTTAAAAAAAATAATTGATACAAACCTTATTCTATCATTAAAGGTATTTTTAATCATTTCTTTTGTAAAGTATTGACTATTTCATTTCATGATGATGTATGAAAAAGACATTATCCATTTATAAGCTCTAGCATATCTCATAAAGCAGAATAGTGTTGAGGTCAGGAAATTGTATAGGTTGTGGAAGACGCTAAAGTTCACTTTTGTGTTCTTCTAAATTATTCTGTCACTAGGTTTGTTATATGGAGTGGTACATTATAATCTTGATATGTGAAGCATTCTTAAGCATAACTAGTTTGAATAATTAAGTGGACTTGGCTCATCAATAATTTTAGTGTGTCAGAAACTTTCACTGACTGCACCCCATAGGATCACCAATTCACCTTCATTTTCTATTCTAGGCATAAGAAAATTTCAATTATGTACTGCTGAAGGAATTTTCCACATGTAAAATTTTGGCAGTATGAAACACAATTAAGATTTACTCATTGCTGAACAATAAATATTTTGCATTTTGTACCATTCAACTTTTTAATTCCTGACACCTCTGAAACCAGCATTTAGCAATGATGCTGTTATCATAAGCTTTGCTATAGTTGTTCAATGGTGAATATTTACTCTGTGACTCAAAACAGTTTTTATAGAAAAGAACATTCAATATTAAGTTCTTCCATAAACTGAATAGTCATTATTTTATGTTATTTAGCTATATTTTCACCAGTCTTAACATCCTTTTCAAATAACTTCTTACCTTAACAATTGCACTTATGAAGTTCTTCAGCTTTCTAGGTGTACAGACAAGAGCCTGGTTACTGTGGCTGTCATACCAGCCTGGTGAGCACCAACAATTTATCCTTCTTTGAACATCAATATATTTTATGAATCCCAATGTTTGCAGTCAAACGCTCTAATACCACTGCAGATTCAAATGTTAATCTGCTGCTGTTAACAAAATACGAAATCATTTGAGTTTTCAAATCAGAAATGTATAGTACTGGCTTGAAATTAGAAATGCTGTATTCAGCAAATTTCATTTTAATTGTTCAAACCCTACATTGTAGTGGTTTCAAACTCAAATTGTATGCGTCCGAATACTTGTGATGGGACAGCACTTTGCTGCATAAATAAAGACATATGTTTATGAAAAATGATCTTCATGGATTGCAGATGATCCTTCGTCATTCAAATTCTCATCTTATTAATTTTCAACCGTGAAAAAGAGCTGTTTGTGTATATTCCCCCAAAAGCGATTATTCTTAATGCAAAAATTCATAACTAAGCATACTTATGTTTTGACAAATACAAATAAAAGGTAATAAAGTATGTATCTTCAAATCTTTGAGTAAAAGTTATATCACCCTGTCAATTAATTAACTAAATTTATAAATTTTTAGGTTTTATTCATGTTTGCTTTTAATGGTATTGAATGTAATGAAACCTCAGACTTCAAATGACTAACATCTTGAAATCTTTGCAACATTTAATTTGCAACAGATACTTAATCAGAATGTATTTGGGGTCCACATGTAGCTTGTGGGCTACCAGTTTGAAACCACTGCTATATTGCAAACTGCCATTAACGTAAAGCTTTGGTTTTTATGTCATTTTGTGGTATTGCTTGGTGCACTTTGTGATTTTCGATTGTTATGAAATTACACATAGATCAGTTGTATGAAGTTCCTCACAAACTTCACAAAATCTTCTGAAGTATTAAATTGGAGCTTTTTTATTATTATTATTTTTTCACTTTTGGTTATTCAATGTATTGATCAACAGTACACTGAATAACCAAAAGTGACCTTACTGGTCATCATTGTCTTTTATCGACATTTTTATTTTGAAGCAGCAAATGATCGGATTCATGTTTGGCTAAGATTTTCAGTATTATTCTTTACAAGTACAGCTTTTGAAATTTTACCTACTGATGTTTCTATTAAATGCACTATAATAATCATGCCTTTTTATTAACACACAGGTGGACCTTATTAATAAATATAATGACAGGTTCTGTACCCTTTTGGCACATACAGATATTATGAACACTCAACTTGTGATTTCCGCCTTTCAATTTGTATGCACTTTTTATTTGCTTCTTTTTACAGTGGGAATTTCAGGTATATTTATTGTAACTTAGAGCAAAATATAAAAGATCACTAGCATAATTAGAGTTTATTTTTTAAAAAAGTAATAATAAAATTTGTTGATCAATCTTTCTGAAAACCTTTCCTATATTTGTGAAAATAAAGTGGGGAAAAATGTTAATTTTATTTTATACTACACATTTTATACACTGATTTTCTGTATATTTTACAAGAAAAGTATATCATATTTTAAAAAATTCTTTTATTAATGAGTGTTATTATAAATAATGAAAGAAGCTGATTATTTAAAGTACTTGAAAAATGAAAATAAGCACAACCACCATCCAAATGTTAAAAGTTAAAGCAGTTCCTGAGTCATTCTCCGAGGTATCAGCTGCTTCCGTTATGGGGCTATCTGAAACTATTAATTTTATATAATTTTAGTATATTATTATTCAAAAGAATTTTAATATATTATTATTACAATCAGTAAACATTAAAAAAGAAAAGAACATTAGAACTCTAAAAATCTATGGCAGTTACAAAAAACAAGTCATCTTTCAAAGTATAAAATAGGAGATAAAGGCATTTGTAATCAAGTTTTGTAATTTTAAAGTGCAAATAATTTCATGACTAGAGGCAAAAACTGCTCTGTATGAAATGGAAAAATTAGTAAAATTAATTTTGTATAACATTTAATTCAGTTGTAAACTTTTATTGCATTTCAAGAGAGAAACAAGAAACCTTTATTCAGCAACAAATTATTCTTAGCATATGATGATAGTCCAATAGTGAGCACAGAACTGATGCTAAAATGAGCAAATATCCTTCCTCACTTCAAGATCATATGTCCTTAAAAAAGTCTTCAGAAGATGAGAGACTCTGAGAGCTACTCTGAGAAAAACATTTTGAGGTTTAAAAAAAAAAAAAAAATGACTATGAAGACTGCCGAGGAAAATTACTTTTGAGTGCTGGAGATGGAGCAAGTCATCTCAGATGAATGAAATTTGAAGAGTATAAATTTTTACCTCGAAACCACAAAATATAATGAGTGAAAGGCTTATACTTTCGGCTAAGGTTAACTAAAAATGTTCAGTACAAACTAGTACGTATAAACAATTTGAAAAACAAATTAGTGTAACCAAAGACAAAACATTGCGAATGTTATTTTAAACTTCTTCGAGAATACCGACTAAATTAAATACAGTACAAAGTCTGTAATCCGGACGTTCATTATCCGGAATGATCTATAATCCGGACTCAATCCACAAACCTTTTTTTTGGTATGCTTTATGCATGCACTTTAAGCTGTGCATGCGCGTGGGAGGAGTGTCTCCAGATCATAAACCATGTTGGCATAATTTATGGCCAGCTGCCATATTTCATTGTGAGACGTGAAGATAGTCGCGAATTTGAAGGTTTTCGGATTCGCAAAAACGGTGAAATTTTCGTTATGGATTTTGTAAAGAAATGTGGAGGACGAAGGGTAATAATGAAGATGATTTATTATAACAGAACGTTTTTCATGCCGACGACAATGAACACAATCATCGATCAATTAACGACGTCGAAATCTTAGTAGGTTCTCGATCCAGAAAATACCGCTTCCGATAGGTGGAATTTGTAATGAACAGAAATTTGTCGTTTGAGAATTAAGAGAAATTTAGCACGAAAAACGAAGCATTAAACAACTACATGAAAGAAATTAATAAAGTAACAATAAATATAGCTTTCTTTTTTTTTTTTTTTTTTTTTTTTTTGTAATTTTGATACCTTTTATATTTAAATTAATGATCTATAATCCGGAATCGCCGAAGTCCCGACGAGTCGGGATTTTGTACTGTATTTTATTAATGGGATCCTTTAAAGTTAGGATAGGTTTTTTTTCCCCTTTTTTCTTTTAATCTTGGTACTGATCTCGGAAAAAGGACAAATCACCAAAGACACTTTTAGTATCTGGAAAATACGTATTCAAATTTTATATCAGAATTATCAGTTTTTTAGTTAGGTTAGGTTATCTGAATACAGCAAAGTCTCTCTAAGGGGAGGGATGCGTTCGTGGTGATCTTACTGAGAAAGACTGTGTCATATTCACGTAATGCTTGGGGAAAGCCAAAGAAACTAGCATGTAGCAGCCCGTTTGACTGGGTTAAGCTGGGGTAAACTATGAGTACTCAGCAGTTTTTATCCACTCAGCTACTGATATGGTCTGTATTAGTTTGAAAAGATTTTTCTTTTTTGGTCAGCTCAGCCAAGCGGAATTATGTCAGTAGGGGATTTCTTCAGCTGCGATTCTTGGTAACACGGTAAAGGCAACTGAAATTTCCGAAAGAGGGTTCTGATTGGTATGATTTAGTCTTAAATTTGCTAGGCTTTGATGAGCTTTTATCTTCTGTTTCTTCATAGACAGTGAGGTATTCGTTGTTTAAGAAAGGAAAAACTTTAACAATGATAAAAGGAAAGAATTAGGTAATAGATATTAAACACAGTAAGACTTCGCCCAGCTCTACCCAGTTGTTATTGATTTGATGTAAAGTAGTTAGATTTTCTTTGACGTCTTTCACATTCAGCAAGATCTTCAATTTTGGTCTACATCTCTTTATTTATTAATCAAGAGCTTTTAGACATTTTGTTTTGTTAACTTGTTTCCTTCCTTTTTGTTCAATACAAAACATTTTATGTTGTCTGTGAAGGAACTTTTTTCTTTGAATGCATTGAGCCTTTACAGTTAAAATCAGCGCTAAAAACTAGTGGAGTTTTCTCATTTATTTATGTCTATAAATCTGAAAACAGTTAGTCTGTAAGGTTCAGCCTTAACTATACTTGATCTGAACAGAGGGTCAACTTTACTAGATTACCGGAAAAATTCTTAAGGTTCCGCTTTAATTATACTTAATCTGAACACTGGGTTAACTTTACTAGACTGCCAGATGAATTCTTGTCTCTTCCTTAACTTAGAATCTAGTACGGTGATTACAACAACCACAAAAGCAACTGAAACATTTATCTGTATTTCACATTCAAGTTGCAAAAACTAAAAACGCAACATAAAATCGTGCAGTTAAGACTTATCGGCTGATAATGTAACGGTATTTCAGTTATTTACAAAGCAGATATCAAATTAGAAACTAAAAAGCTGAAACCTATATTAACTCCTGCTTCAGCACCATAAAGCAAAAATTCAACAGCAGTTAACACAGCACTATGACATGTAGGATCCGAGAGTTGCAATACTTCCTGGTTCTTTTCACTTAGATTCTTGCGTATTGTTTTAACTCGGAATTGACGGAAAGTTAAAATGTAAGAAAGATTTAACATAAAGGAAAGCATCTTAATTTAAAATAAACCTTACAGTTGTGATATCTGGGAATTCTGGGAAATATTTCACATTGTTAGAATTTGGTGCAATCATCACATGACCTTTCATCATATTATATATCAACAGTATTAAATATTATGGTTTTGATCAATAAATTCATACTTAACCATTGAACATTTTTAATGTTTAGTAAAATTTTTTAATTTTGAGTCATCAGAGGACATGCATGAGAATTATTAAAATCGCAAGTATTAATTTATTAATGGGAAATTCAAAAGTTTTCTGCATATGTAATTTTGAAGACATGTAAGCAATTTTACGATTAAATTAGTTTAGAAGTGACAAATTCATGCTTAACCATTACATGTCTTTAAAGTAAATTAATTTTTTGTTAATTATTTTTTTTTTAATTTTAAGTTTAAAATTTTGAGTTATTAACCAGAGGACATATGTATGAGAATTATTTAATTCATTCTGAAAAAGAAAATAATATTTTGCAAATATTAATTTATTAAAAGATAATTTGAATCAAGTTTTCTGCAGCGTATGTAATTATGAAGACATATATGCAATTGCGCGATGAAATTAGTTAAGAAATGACAAAATTTTTTAGAAATAGCAAAATTATAGAATGGCCAATTCCATAAATGAGTTACTAACTCAGTTAAAAAGCCGAGTTTGAAACTAAGCACTTGTAGAAGGATCTTGAATGTTCACACTTGTAAGAGAGCTTACGTGGTGAAGGAATGTATTTAATCCCTTGAAAAAAGTGGAATTAAAATATTAATTTTAAATTCTTACATACAAAAATTAAGTACATTAACGGATCGAAAACTGAGAAGAATAAATTTATGTACAATATTTCCGTCTTTTTTAACTAATTTTATTGTTCTAAAATCGAGAGGAGAAAATTGTGCGAATAATTTAATTTCAGAAAATCGGAGTTACAATAAGAACGTAACAAAAGAAAAATAGTCACGGATAAACTACCGGTACCACAATATTATTTCTATAAAATAAACTTGCATTCTATTAAGAATCATAGTAATATTAAATTACAATATCTTACAGATATTGAGTCGGTATCTGACAGTAACTGAGCCATTGCAGGTCACGCTGAGGCTCAAGTTTGGTTTATTAGATTAGGCAAGGCTATCTGCCTCAAGGGAGGGATGCTTTCGTGGAGGACTTTCTAAGGGAAACTGGCTCGTATACACGGTACACATGGGGAAAACCACAAAAACACACATGCAGCCAGCCCGTTCGCGGGATTCGAACCTTGAACCGAACTACCAGTGTTCAGCGACGTTACCGCTCGGCCGCTGGTGGACCTCATGCTGAGGCTCAGATACCTTGTAAAGGCACGGGGGTACCTGGCATGTGTCTTGACCACAGTTCTCAAGACGGACATCGGGGGAACGAATAGAAAGGGGGGCGAACAAAAGACACGGCTTTCGAAAGATCAGATACATTTAAAAGTAGATAAGGCTATAACAACCTTGAACGTAAATAATAGAAGTAAGGCGAAATCGCATGTTTGGAAAGTTTCTTGAGTAAGAAAACACCTGCTACGTCCGGGTAAGTTAACGAAGAATCTGCACGAAATACGTTTCAAATAATAACAAGGAAAAATAAAATGGATGGAATGCTAATACGAAATTGCAAATACAAAATGAACACAATCAAGGGAATTACAGTTTACCACTAAACTAGCCTTCGGAGGGAAAAATTAGTGGAAGAGGGAAGCAATGCGAATATTTTTAAAAGTTTCAGAACATAGCATTAAACTATTAGCAGACTGATCCTAAAGTATAACATGTTTCTCTAAAATAAAACTTTAAAAATCTTCTCAAATTACATTTTTCAACAGAAAAATAAACTGCAAATTTTAAGTTAGAATTTCACTGTTTTTACAAACAATTAATGCAAGTACGAATCAATAAAATATCTGTAATTTGTCAGCATGTTTCTTGTTTGGCTAGATGAGTGAGTAAAGCAAATTGAGAGAAGTATTGCACATAAACTGTAGTCAGATAGCAGAGAAACTTATTATTGCAAACTAAAATATCTCTAGACTCTATTATCTGTAGACATATGTAAAATAAAACAAGTTTGAGTGTCAACATACCTTTGCAAGTTTCCTTGCAACTTTTAAGAGTCGGAAAATTATTTTTATTTCCTCCACAGCCAGTATAAATGAATTTTTCACATTGATTTGCAATTGCGTCGTAATAAAATCTTTCGATCTTTTCACTGCAGCTGCCTTCCGCTTTTACTTCGAAGCATACTGTACGTAAAAGTAAATTTTAAAAAAGTAACATAATATACATAAAAAGGGTAATACTAACTGATTACACTGATTGTAAATATTTGCTTTGAAATTCTGGTTTCATAAATAAAAAAAAAGGACAAAATTTTAAATAATTGATTAAACAATCCCCATATAATCATTAATTATACAAATGTAATAATTAAATCACTAAGTTAATAAGAAATAAAATAATTTGGAAAATTTCCCAGCTGATTTATTTTTAATGATAAAGTAAGAGGATTTGTCGGCTGTAAAAAGGTATTAAACAATGATTATTAATGTTATGGCAATAACAAACCGAGTTTTTATAATAATGTATGTACATTGCTGGTCATTAAAATTGTAACACCAGGAAGGAATGATCTGACGAACGTCAAAGTCACATGAAAGGAAGAAGAGGTTAGCATATGCAAATAATTAATATTTCAGAGCATTTAAACGACACAGGAGGGAAAAACGACATCTGTAGCACTGCATAAAAGAAAAATTGCGTATTGGATTTCTCATTTGGAAAGTGCTTTGTATGGTTGGAGTTTGCTCATAATAATATCGTGTTATGCCTCGAATAAGAAGAGGACTTACCAGGAAGTTCCGAAATTGAGTAGAGGCAGTATCGTTTCCAATTGAAAGTGTAGATTATCGTTCCGTGATATCGCCGGTCGCACTGGTCGATATCCAACCACTGTCATGTGAATATGGAATCAATGGATGAGGGTCGTACTGAACGGCATGCAGGATCTCAACGCCCTCCCATGAATAACGCCAGAGAGGACAGGCATATTGTGTGTCCCTGCAAAATCGTTCGACCACATCACGGAGCATTAGTCAGGAAATGGGCATGCTTGCAGAACGCCCAGTATAAGCTCACAAGGTGCGTCGACGTTTCCAGCAGCGTGGATTATCAGCTGGGTGACCATTTCTTCGGCTTCCCTTGACAATGCAGCATAGAGAGAGACGGCGACTCTGATGTGCCAGACGACAAAGCGGGGTACAGGAGTGGCACAATGTTGCCTTTTCAAACGAGTTCCGGTTCTACGTGCATATTTCGATAACCGTATACGTGTGTGGAGTCTCCAAATCCAAATTCAGAACTTTCTTTTACTGTTGCCCAAAATAGATATGAAATGCAATGTTGCCAATGAATATATTTATGAATATATTTTCCTTTAAAATTATTAAATTGATAAATAACTTGCATCTATCCAATGAATACAAACAACATTTAAATAATAAGGTTAATAATAACATTTATATTTAACTGTTATCATAAGTTTCATGAAAATAAATGTTATTATTAAGAGAAATAAATTATTGTGATGAAAAATAAACATATTGTTGTGTATTTTAAATATAAAAATTGCCATACATAAAAAATCAAGGACAAATAATTATAATTGATTGAAAGCTTTGATAACAAAGATAGTAACATTTATTTTCATGAAACTTATGATAACAGTTATATATATACTAACTGATACCCGCCCACTTTGTTGGGCACACTATCTATTTGAATGTGAACCTAGAATTCTTATATGGACGAAATGTCTAATTTCGAATTCATAATTATGTAACTTTTTTTAATTTAAAGTCGGGAAATATAGTGCCAATCAATAAATCTGTCATACACAGATTTCAACATCACCTATGAGGTACTGTGTATTGGGATGCGTCTCCATTATTTACATGGTGGGTCCCCATAGCCTACATCACGAAATTGCCAACATATAATTAAGGTTATATATATTTAACTGTTTCAAAGTTTCATGAAATAAATGTTATTATCTTTTTATCAAATTTTTTAATCAATTATAATTATTTGTCCTAGATTTTATGTATGGCAATTTTTAAAAAAAGAACAACTTTTTATTTTTCATCACAATAATTATTCTCTTAATAATACATTATTTTCATGAAACTTAGATAACAATTAAATATAATGTTTTATTAACCTTATCATTTAAATGCGGTTGTATTCATTGGATTGATGCAAGTTAGTATTTACCAGTTTAATAATTTTAGAGGAAAATGCATGCATTGGCAACATTGTATTTCTTATCTAGTTTTTGGTAACAATGAAAGAAAATTCTGAACTTGGATTTGAAAACCAAATGTATGAGAAACTTCTATTGTATAACAAAAATCTATTTTGGACAGGAGTTACGTATTTTCCGTTCTTAGTGCGCATATACATCTTGGAATGAGTAACTATGCAAAATTTCAATAGGGAGTGTAGTTTCGGGGATCTCGTGATGAGTCAGTGGAATTTCTCTTATATGTATAAAGAGATATAAACCTTAGTTTTATGTTGGCAATTTTTCGTGGTGTATGCCTACTGGAAATCCCGCCTCGTTAAATAATGGGGATGCATCCCAATACTCAGTACCTCATGCGTGATGGGGAAATCTGTGTATCAACATATTCACTGACTGACACTATATTTCCAGACTTTAAATTAAAAAAAAAATTACATTAATTATCAATTCGAAATTCGAAATTAGACATTTCGTCCATATAGTCTAGGTTCACATTCAAATAGATAGTGTGCCCAGCAAAACGGGCGGGTATCAACTAATAAAATAATAAACAGCAGACAAGTATGTCAAGAGAGGTAAAAGATGCATTGTTAGCTAAGGCTACTGTATACGATCTGGCTTTTGTTTGTGCCATTTAGAGGCACCATCTCATAGTCAGGCTGGTAACTGTGTAACCATGACATCCAGGGCTGCATAAATAACTTTGGGATCGAATTAAGTTCATCTGAATAGAAATCATATATTTCATTTTCAAGTCAAAAGTGCATTCCTGTTAAATTAGAATTAGAAACATTTCTTCCATGTGCTTTTATCGTGCGGGACTTAAGAATATCTGCCCAGCACAAGATTAAATCTTCGAAACAGTTTCACCTTCGAAACTTTTCAAAATTTCCCGCTTTTATCTTTAAAACATTTCCTAGTCTTATATTTAATTTTGAATATAAAAACACTTAATTACATTATAGTACCAAATACAGGAATGGTGCAGTCACCAGGGTGCCTGTGCATGAAGTCATTGTGTTTACTTTTGCTGATGTGGCAAACATCTGTATGTTATCAAGAGGATTTATCTGGATATCGTACAAGAAGACTGCGTGATGTCACATTTGAAAGAAAACTGGGATGATTGCACTTTTCTCGAAAGACTCACCACCATATAGATTATTTGCAAGAATATCAGTCGCAATTTTCCACAAAAATAGAGAACATTTGCAAGAGCATATCATTCTCTCGTTGAGCTCACATTTACCAATCTGCCCTTGGACTCACTTCTGCTACACATCTTTTCTTGTCGTTTTAACTTTATAACTAAACATCGCTTCCTTTGCTCTTTCGCTACATAAAATTCAATTGTAAAATTACGGAATTTTTAACAGAAATATGTTTTTAGAATTCCTGATAGAGTATTAAATGTTGTCACACATTTTTCTATTTTTTCTATATTTTCTGAATTCATCATATCAATTTTCAGTTTTCTAATTACCATGACTTTACAGAACTTTTCTTTTTGGTTGTTCATTATTAACTTTTTGTCTTTTTAACTTTATTTACTATATATCAGTTTCTTCGCCCTCATTTCTCAAACCTCATCTTCTTCGCCCTCGTTTTCTGTGCCACATAAAATTCAACAGCAAAATAACAAAATATTAAAAACAGTGTGTCTTAAAAATTCCGAACAGTGTTACATATGTTTTTTTATATTCTCTATATTATTTCTTTAAAAATAATATTTGGCAATAACATTTAATGGCAATATCCCTTTCTTTAAAAAGTGATATGAATGAGTGAAAAGAAACTGGTGGTGTTATTTAAAAATAGCCTCCTGTTTACCACACTTTACAAGGAAACGATTAAGCCTTGCACTATTAATTCAAAATTTCTAATGCGTTTTTAGAAGAAAATATTGTCTGTTAAAGGCAGAATTACGGTAATTACAAAATTTAGGCAGATTTACATGTGAAAAAGTGAAAGAAATTCTTTACCAAATGATTCAGCATCCATTTTACGTTCTTCTTCTTCTTCACATTTACAAACATAGCATCCCGAAAAGAATTCCTCGACTCGGCATTCTGGTTCGCAGTAGGAAGGACTTTTTCTGCAGTTTTGGAAATCGTCTAAGAAAACCAACAACAATGAAAAATTGAATTGAATAACAATAATATGGCTAGTGTTAAAAAAGGTCACCAGTAAAACTAAGAAGTAAATACAACTGAACAAAAAAAATTATGATCACAGGGAGATCAAGACAATGAGCTAGATAAAACAGGAACTGCATTAAAACTATTCATTAGCGGCAACATTTAAATCTGGAGTAATACATTGACAATAATGCATAATATTGTGATAGTTACCAGTAGTTAATAACTATGAATACCTTTTACTTGTGTGCCGACCAGCGGCCGAGCGGTAAATACGCTGAACATTGGTAGTTCTGCTCGAGGTTCTAATCCCGCGAGCGGGCTGGCTGCCCGGGCGTTTTCGTGGTTTTCCCCATGTGTAACGTGTATACGAGTCAGCTCCCTCAGAAAGTCCTCCACGAAGGCATCCCCCCTTTAGGCAGATAGCCCTCGTGTGTTTTGCCATAATTGAATAATCCAATCCATTCCTTTTACTTGTTGTGCGCTTACTATAGATGCGTCCTTCGGAAATTAAATTATTCGCACGATTTAACCCTCTCGATTTTTATACAATAAAATTAGTAAAAAAGGGAGGGTTCATCTTTTAATAAATTTTTAAAACATGTATTACAAAGTATTATATTTTAACATTATTTAAACTAGCTCAAAATAAAAAGGCATAAATAAATAATTGAAAAAGCTTAATTTTTAGCCCCAAAAGACTGTTAGCCTCAAAACCGCATTTTTTCGTTTCACTTTCTGCGTTGATTCACTTTTCAAACTGTTGCCACCAAATATTATCCCAGTATACATATTTAATTTAAAGAAAAAAGTAATGAAGAATCGCATGAAGCTGAATGTTCTCGCATGTGAAAAAAAACGCTCCTACTGAGCCATCAATTTTGAAAAACGTAGTTCTCCAACTGGATCGGGCATTGGGAAGACGAATTTTGCTTTCGAACTTATTTATTATATATTTCAAATTTTTTAAACTTTAAAGAATTTTGATTAACAAACTCAATAATTTCAAAGTGAGCAATGGCAATACTGTACGGGGAAAAAAAATTATCTCCAGCGCGCGAGACTATGTATCGGAAATTCTAAAGATATGCTGTTTTTAAATATTTTGCGATATTGCTGTTGAATTGAATTTCATGCGGCTAAAGTGCGAAGAGCATTATATTTAATAAATAAAGATAACACATAAAACGTTAAAAAAATGGCTCTTTGGGCGTAATATAAAATCTGAAAGCTTTCAGATTTTTTTCCTTTTCTTTTCTTTTTTTTCTTTTCTCTCCCCCCTCCCGCCCTCGAAAAGAACGAACGATAAATGGCCTAAGAAACTGGAGTAAAATAAAAAGGGAGAAAAATACACGAGTAAAAAATAACACGAGTAATCTGGACGTATTTATCTAAGCCCTTTTTAATAACATTTTAAAATGTGTATTATACCGTACTATATTTTCACATTATTTAAACTAATCTAAATTAAAAATAAAAAAAGACATTAAAGAAGAACTTTATTATGTTTTGACTAGAAAAAAGAACGAACTATAAACGACCTGAGTAACCGGAGTTCTAGATATAAGTTATCCGGATAACTCGTATTCTAATTCTTTAATTACATTACGCCAGTTCTCTTTACTAACATTATACGTCTATCCAGTTTAATAAGTTTGCATTTTTTAAATTTTTTTGAACAAAATTTGAGTATCATTGGTACTAAACATCTAACAATATATAAAGCTTATTTAGCTTATAGAATATTGAAATGAATCTGATCAACATTTTATTCAAATAGTATTTCATCCTTTCGTTTAAATATGAATCTTAATTACAGCTAAAGAATTTGTAAGGATCTTAAGTTTTACTAACGTTTATTTTATT